CATGTTGTTCATCAGATCCTACTTTCCTACAATAACAACTTATGTTGATCTTGTAAACCCCATGTAACTTTTTTGAGGGGGTATAATCTGTAACCTTGGGAGGGTCTTGCGGCTCTTCACATTCTTTTGATGAAGGTCGAGGGATCACTGTAATTGTGCATACTAATATAATGCATTGGTTGCCACTATATCCAAATGTTTTGGTTCTTTACTTAAGTGAGGGTTTTCCCCACAGATGTGAAATTGAAAAGAGAACCCTACAGGTGTAGTGCAAAGAAGAACACAGGAGACATTTGCTGGATAATATTTTATATTTAACAAAATATTTTTAATAATATATTTTTCAAATATTGTTTTCTAGAGTCTTTTTACAGTAGCGTGTTTTGTTTTCACTAGTTTTCAGGCACACTATTGTTTAGAAGTGTAAAAAGTCTGACAGGTATTCTCTTTATGAAGAACACAGTTCCCCCTGTTTCATTAGCAGTTGAAGTACTGCTAATTAAACTGATCTCCAAGTAAGTAGGGTACAGCACAGCTTTTTTTAAAACAGGTAGATCAAATTATATCAACATAATGATCTGGCCCTATGCTATGTCATGTATATGTATGTACAATTTTCTGGAGCCTCATTCTGCACAGGATTGACCTCTATGTAATGGTAGGTACAATTTTCAGATGCACATGCTTGGGGAACTTTTTGAGCTCCAGAACTTGTGGTAAGCAATGTTTATTCAGTCCTTCTGGTATTCTAGCAAGCTCCAATCAGTGACCAATGGTTTAGGAGGATAGGAATTTGTAGTCCAGAATACCGAAAGGACTGTACCTAGAAGAAGCAGTGCAAAATGTCAATCAGCTTCTCCATCTATTCTAACAGGATAATTGTTGAATTTTCCTTGTGCCTGTCCATCTAGAGTATGATCTGAAGGCTCATGCTAGAGTGTCTGTAGTGGAACTAAGCAGATAGTGTCTGTCAGTAACTGAATGGGAGAACACTTGAGGCCACCTTCATTTCCATGCCAGGGAAGCATAATGTGAAAGAAAAATATAAATTATGTCAGAATGATCAGTATACTTGACCAACATTTGTAAATTGCAACATACCTTTTTGATTAGTTGAAACTACGCTCTCTATGCTTGAGAGTCAGTCATGAGTCAATTTTTCTATCAAGCAAGACATTTATGTACAGACATATGACATAGCTATTATTCATAGCAGTTTGAACAACACAGTCTAGCCGTTACTTGTAGTGTAAAAGAACTGGAAATGAGGAATAATACAGAGCTTTCTTACTAGCTCATTACACCTACCAAACTGATCCAGGGAACATGGAAAAAAGAGAATAACCTTTCATTAATTAATGAACTCTAAATGTAGGGAAAATATTAGCATTTTTGGCTTTCATGTGCCACAGAAATGATATAAGACATAAAAGCAAGTGAGATTATCCATGTTTTCCAAATGCAATGAATGATCCCCTTAAAATTCAATACATACAAAATAAACAAACAAGTAAGTAAATAAATAATGCAGCACAACTTCTTTAGACAAATCCGTTCAGGTGGGATTAGAATGGTAAAAAGCTTTCCCATATTAAGCAAAATTTGCAATATATAAGATATGATAAAAAGGATAGAAGTCAATCTGATTGACATGCTATTGACATGGGATTTTTTGTTTACTTCATAAAGCATTTAATCAGTGTTGTTTATACTAGCATTCAGACCTGGTGCACTTACCACAGGACTTTTTTAAAAAATAAGACTGATAGTTTTTTAAATTGTTCAGACTGGTTTGTGGAGTAACGGGAAAAAAAACCCAGGGTTGTGCAGGGCTTCAGATTTGAAGTGGAAAAAGTGCTTTGGTGCACACAGAGACGGTCTTGTAAAACCTGTTGACATCTCTTTCAAGCAGCTGCATCATTTCACAGGATCACTTTACTGTGAAAAAGATAAGTAGAGCCCAGAAGTTGATAGAAAGGTCTAGATCAGGGGTGTCAAACTCGCATCGTCATGTCATCACATGATGTATCACAACCCCCCCTTTTCTAAAATGGGGGTGGGCATCGCCAGTGCATGACACATCCGGCTTGCGGGCCATGAATTTGACACCCCTGGTCTGGAGAAGAATTTGGAAAAAGGTGCAGCTGATGGGCCATCCAAAACCAAAAGCTGCCTTTTCCTCTAATAGGAGAAATGTCAAAACTGTATGAGTTCCATTCCTCTGAGAGCGGGAGCTTGAGGGCAAAATCAGAGCTGATTTATCAATATTAGGAGGGCCAAGGAAGGCCAAGGAAGTAAGAAAAGAATGGAATGACGAGAAAGGCCAAAGATAGTGCTCATTATTAAGTTCCTTAATAATTTCTGACTAATACAAATAGATAGATCCCAAATCTTGTGAAGCAAGAATACCATTCAAGGATCAGTTCTGTTCAGTGGTGTCGAATTCTCAAAGACTGGACAAGATTTTTCAAAAGTGTTTTGCCATTGCCTCTTAGGGCTGAAAGAAAGGGACTGTACCAAATCACCCAGTGCCTATGGTGGGGCTAGAATGTATGGTCTCCTGCTTTCTAGCCTGATGCCTTAATCACTACATTTACATTTATGGTATTGTAAAAAAGAGCCTCCTGCATAAGTGAGAACACTCCTTTCCAAAGAGTGTTATATCTCTCAAACTGGGGTTCTAGCAAAGCTCCAAAGTAGATACTCTAACTCTGGCTGAAGCCTTCATGAAGCTCTACAAATGAGCTTTTGACATGCAGAAAGATGAATAAATAAAAAACAAATGCTCCTTTCCAAATTATAAGGTTGCAACCTTGAATAACTTTGTAAAAAAAAATGATGGTATTATAAAGTGCCCTTTAAAGCAGTTTATCTTAAAGCAGCTTACATCCAAGACAAAGACTTTTTGTTAATAAAGAACTTATCTGCTGGTGATAGCTTCCAACAAGTTCTTCTGTACAAAGTTTATTTTGCGTGAATTCAGACTTCTCGACCCCAATAAATTCTCTCTACTTCTAGTATGCTTGTCTTTTGATGGATCTTAGCCAATTATTTTTTCTCTTTTCTCCCAAAGATTCTGGAATTTGTCAATAAAACATAGGCTGCAATACTTTTTAGCTCTACTTAGCATTGTCATGGTTTTCAAAAGCCCAGGTATGTCATTTATTTCTTATTCAAAGATCTGCTTTACCTTATTTGTATTTAGGAGGAAGCAAAAACAGAAAACGAATCTGTCATGCAATGGGAAAGAGGATATGTCTGAAAAATTATATCTGAATAATTTATTTATTTATTTATTTATTTATTTATTCGAATTTCTATACCGCCCTTCTCCTTTCGGACTCAGGGCGGTGAACAGCCAGATAAAAAACATCTATACAAACATCACGGTTAAAAAATAAAGTTAAAATAATTTATAAATTTGGCCCATAATTTAAAACTTGTCAATTTAAAATAAATATTAAAATTTTAAAACTAACCCTAAAATCAGGACAGACCGGCTAACTGAAAAAAATAAGTTTTTAGGGCCCGACGAAAAATCCGGAGGTCGGAGATCACTCGTATCTCTGGGGGTAGATTGTTCCATAGGGTAGGTGCCACCACAGAGAAGGCTCTCCTCCTGGGGGTCGTCAGCCGGCATTGTCTGGCCGACGGCACCCTGAGGAGGCCCTCTCTGTGGGAGTGAACCGGCCGGTGGGAGGCTATTGGTGGCAGAAGGCGGTCCCGTAAGTACCCTGGCCCTAAGCCATGGAGCGCTTTAAAGGTGATCACCAATTTACTAATCTGCATTCATGAATTCTTGAACACAGCTGCCAACCATTGTTCAAATTTATTTATTAAAGAATAGTTGTCTGATATGATGTTAGATGAACAGAGCAAGTGCAGATCCCTCTTGTGTCAGAGTATTGTTGCTTTGGGGCTTTCTATTAGTTTGAGAAGAAGCCAAATCAGCTTGTTCATATCATAGGGCAACACTCTATCTCAGTGCTTCTACGTATATCAAGGGCATTAAAACATAGAAAAAAGCTTATGGATGAGAATCCACAATGCTTGAGGTAACATGCTACTCAAAACTTACATGGCATTTGGTGTTTACTTTTATTTCATACAGCCTTATGGTCAAATTATGTAAAAAAATGAGGGAGCCACAACTGGACTTTCCACATTATTAAAAACAAATGGCAACTATGGGGATGAGAATAAATCAAAACCAAAGGAGATGATCACAATTCAAATTCGCCATTGCCACAATTTATTTTAATGGCTAAAATGTGGAAGTTCAAGCTTAATTTTCACCCATTACTGCTTTCATAATTAAGTAGCTATTAATTTCACCTTTTATACTTTTGTTCATAGGGTATATTGTCTTGCTTTATTGTCCAATTCTACTCATATGCTTATCTGCATTTTATGGGTGCAGCATAACCTTTTAACACAAAAGTAATTTTAAGTCATATAGATGGAGCGTGGATTTAAAAAAAAGGGGGCAGGGACATTGGGGGTATTATGTTGTGTTTGGTATGTTAGTCTGCATTTCTGGTGAAACAATATGCAAAAACATATTTCTGTTCCATAGTTAACATCCTTGCTTACATCTTTTCTAGGGACTTTGCAGGTTGCACAAACAGGATGTGTGACTTATTTTGCCTACCCATAAAATGGTTGATGATAGGTGCAAATTTTCATTACATAATACATATTTCTGGGACTTTGGTGTTTCAGTTGTTTTCCAGTTAACACAATTTTCTCTCCATGGAACATATTTATACTAATGTCTAAAAGGATTGTATAGGAAATGATCTCAATCTCTTCCAATAAATTGCAAAATTTAAAACAGATTTCGAACATGATATTTCTTTCATGAGATATTTTACCTAAGAAGAAATGGAACAATGGACAAAAAGTTGTCCCTATTAATTTAGCCCCAAATATATGCACTTGTAAACTCAAGCAAGAAGGATTTCTTCATTGGAGTTAGAAATGAACACTGAAAAGAAAAATGAAAAACACAAATTTAATTCAGGAAACTTGCAAAGTTAATTTTCTTTGGGCTCTTGAGCCCAAAAAATGGGATTACATTGTATCTTGATTTCCAGACATCCTGGTCAAATAAATATTTTGTGTGATTCCCCCACCCCATCCAATTTATAGGAATGTTATTCAACATTAAATGTTTTAAAATATATTTGTGCTGATAATTAACACTTGGATAGTCATGAATTGCAACTTTATGTCAGATGATTTCTTCCAGTAGAGATATATATATTATCTCTTAAGAACCAGTTGATTTCTACATTCATGCTGAGATTATTCAAAGATGGAGAGAGAGCAAAGAGGGCAGTAATTGTCACTGAAATTAACCTGAATAGGCATATTTAGTCTGATAGGTTAGGGAAAGGTCTAGGAAGCTGCAGTTTCTTTCCTCCTTGCCTAGAACCAAAGAGGTGGGGAAAATAATAATGCAACAGACTGACACTGGTATATGTTGTTGAGTGATGATCTTAAGAGTTTGATTTTCTTAGGTTGTATAATCTCTTTCATGAATATTGACTGCTTACACTGGTTGGCTTTAGCTTGTTTTCTATCGAAATTAGAACATACATTTTTCTTTTCAATTATCCCCATATGGTGGAGAAAACATAAACCATCACCAGAAGAAGTTCTGTAGAACATTCCATTCCTAAGCTAATTTACCAACCTGTGTTGCTTGCTATAATGTCAAGCTACATAGATTTTTTTTCAGAGAGGAAAAGAGAGGAAGAGAACAAGCTCACAGGTAAAATTGTCTTATTTAACCCTAAAATATTTTGCTGGTGACCCAACTGCAGCTGTCAGATCCAGCTTGAGAAGCTGACACAATGGGTGTGCAAACATCATTGCTGGGAGCTTTGCCCTATGCAGTCGGCTTGCCTTGGCATTCACGTTTGGAGCACTGGGCAGGTTTCCACCAGTCCCCGTGATGGCAGTGACAGATGTTACACTCATCCACTTTGACTTCGATGCCAGCCGGAATGATGGTGGTTCCTGCAAAGCAGTTTGGACCTGCAAATGTATATACATAAGTAGATTAAACGGTTAACCAGACTGGAGAACATGGGCTTGATTACATTGGGCATAGTTGATCCAAAATTAAAATTTTTAATTCCATTACAGCCATCAGAAAGACTGAAACCCAGATTTAAAACTGCTTTACTTATAATGTTATTGTCCATGAACTTTGTGTTCTTTTACTGAAAATAGAAATACTCTCAGTTAAATACTGTATTCTTGATGCAACATACAGAGAAAAATAATAATTTTATTCCATGTACAAAGACTAATATCTTAATAAAAATGGGAAAAACAGAAAAATCAACATATGACATTTTGAAATATTTTCAAAGCTGTTTCAGACCTATAGATGATTCAAACAGCAATCCGTTTTCATCCTCCGTTTTGGTATTCTCAGTACCTAGCAGACACTGACCTAAGTACCTTAATACCCAGAGTATTGATGGGCTTTGGTGAGCTTTCAGTTATTTGAATATCTTTTTTCCCCTGTCTATTTTTATGTTTGCAGTGGAAAACACAAATATATTTATTGCATATAGGGAGAAGGAAAGATGGCATAAGAGGTAGGATCTGTTGTAAGGAGCTCCCTCTGAAGCCTTTCTTGTTTCAATTTTTTAACAAGCTCTTTTATTTTATCCCATTTTACTCTATACTTTTAATGTGGGAAAGTAACAAATAAAGTGGTAAATAAAGTAATAAATAAAGTAAAAGCGGGTCCAACTAGATGATCACTGAAGGGCCCTCTTTGTTCTTAATATAGTAAAAGAGAAAATGCTTGCAATTGTATCCAACACGTAGGCAAACACATTCCTTTCAAGTAGGATTTCTACATCAAGGCCCCTCAGTTGTCACGGATAAAAACAGTCTGGTGATTTACATTTTTAAGGTCGGAGAGAGAAGATGACCATATTATTGTTTCAACAAGAGATAATTTGAATCTATGCTTCAGTAACTTCTTTTTTTTTTTATTGAAAAAGTTTTTCAAATACAATTTCCCCCCCCTTTTCCCCCCTCCCCCCTAACCCCCCCTCCCCCTCCCCTCCCCCTGTGGCTTCTCCAAAATAAAATCCAAATTCATAACAGATTATATAATACTTTACCATCCCTTTGCTCCACCCCCCATACGCTGACCCTTTCTTTCTAATAATATTATTATATCCCCCTTATACTATACATTTCAAAATAACATTCAACTGTAACATTATATAATAACTCCTAATTTAGCATAATAATATTATTATATCCCCCAGTTTAGCAATTTCTACTCATAATCTACCCTTTTCCTCCTCCCCCATACTCTTAACTCAAATCTTTTACATGTATTCATATCTAAACATAATATCCCTTTTCTTAAACTAAACAATCAATAAGCTAACCTGTCTCCACCCACTTTCCTACAGGACTACCATACATAATAATTTTTAATATCTTTATTCTTCTGCCCACACTCTAAGAAGTATTCCCTTATATAAATAGTATACTCAAATGACTTTAAGCTTGTAATCCATATGATATCTTCTGTAATGTCTTTCAGCTGGATTGTTAACTCCATCACCCATGTTAGGGTAACATCACATCCTAATTCCAACAGTATGTTCGGTATCTTGAATTACCATCTGCCCCCATCAATAGTAGATGTCTTCATATATAAAAAACCACCCGAGTGACTTTATATTTGTATTCCATATGGTGTCTATAGTAATGTCTTTCATCTAAATTATTAATTCCAACCATCGTAATAGGGTAACAACCAGATCTTCTGCATGCCCCAATCCCATAACTCTCTTGCCTTGTAGTTCAGCATAAACGTAATACATTTATCAAAGAATCCAAAATAGATAGTTCCAATCCATTCAGTTTAAGGCCATTTTCACATCCCAAAAGTACAGCACTGCAGAGGTCTGTCACTCTCCTCAAGATAATATAAACCAGTACTTTGCCTCAGCTATATTTTCATGTATTCAATCATCTCTTAGATAACTGGCATTACACTGTTGTTTAGTCTAAAAGTTTTTATTTTTGTAAGACCTGCTTCTTCTTTTCTTAACTTTTTGTGGGTTAGATCTCCATCCTGGTTTCCTTTCTGTAAGTTGTATATCAACTGTTTGGTTTCCATGCTGATCTATAACTTGATTTTGTTGGTTTTGCTTTTGTGGCGTAGATCTCCATTCTGGTTTCTTTTCTATGAGTTGTATATCAACTGATTGATTTCCATACTGGTCTGCTACTTGATAAGTCATCACATTAGAATCCAAAGCCGCCTCTCTTGTATTTATAAATAGTCCAGCTGAGACCTCTGAAGGAGAATCCAGAAGCGGCTCATCTACAAAGACCTCTGTAACTTGTTGTTTTTCCATTACTTCCACCTCCATCTGCTTATCCTGAATTTCTATCTCTTGTTGATTTTGCTTTTCTTTATTCCACTCATATATTATACATGGAGATGTTGAACCCATTTTGAGAATCTTATAGTAAAATTCTTCCGCTTTTTCAACAGTATTTAGTTGATATCTTTCTCTTTGATATCTCAATATTAAACCAACTGGAGCATCCCACCTGAATGAGATGTTTTGTTTCTTTAGCTCAGTCACCAAAAATCCAAATTTCTTTCTGTCTTTTAACATCTTGGGCGGCAACTCTTTATATATCCAGATCTTTCTTCCATTCAGTTGTAGAGTAGAATTAAAGGATTTTTGCACAATATCATTTCTTATTCCTTTATCTGTAAAGTAAATCACCACATCTCTAGGCAATTGCCTTTGCTTTGCAATCCAAGAATTTATTCTATAGGCCTTGTCAATCTTACAAGATACCTCCTCAGGATGAACCTTTAAAATCCCAGCCAGAACTTCAGCAGATATTTTTCTTAAATCATCTCTATTATTTTCCTGTAAGCCTCTCATTCTAACCGCAAATTCTGTGAGCCTGTATTGCATCATTGTAACTTCTTTTTCAATCCCTTGTTTTATGTTTTTTGCATTGTAAGTCTTGTGATCAGCTTCCTTTTTAGACTTTACTTCTGAGCTATTATGTTGAATATTTATCAAATCATTTTCAATTCTTTGTATTTTATTATCCAAATTATAAATCTTATCATCAACTTCCTCCATTTTAGACTCTAATAACTTGATATTTTTATCCATCTTTATGACTATTTCTGAAAAAGCATTAGTCACTGTTACAATCTTTCGTTGCAAATTATCATACTTTAGTTGTATCAATTCTTTAATTTCCTGCTTAAATTTTTCAAGATTCTGGTTCACAATCTCGTCATGTCTTGCCATTTCCTCCAAAACAAATTCTTTTAGGTTAAAACCATTCTTCTGAGTCTGCAAGTTTGAAACTTGTTCACATAGTTTGTAAATGGGGGAACACCCCCCCCCCGCTGCTTGTTTGTCTGGCTTTGTTAGTTTAGACGCCATCCTGCCACATAGACAAACTCTTTTTAAAGAAAAGGACTTCTCTCCAGACAATATCAATATCAAATCTCCAAGAAGAAAGAAACATAAAGTAGAAATTTTTCTTTTCAATTCTAGCCAGCACTATTATTTCTGCTACTTTGTAGCTTGTTAAACTATTCAGGCGGAAGGACTTTCACTTTCAGCTTTCTTCTTCTCAAGCCTCAGCTAGTCGCCATTTTAAGCTTTTTTTCCTTCGCTTTTAAAATCGCTTATAAAATTGTTAGAAATACTTGCGATTTAGGGTCCAGAGTCCAGATCTCATCCTCTTTGTTTAAACAATCTGTTAGTTCTCAGTAAATGGCTTGGTCCTGTCGCCTAGCTCTGCAAAAAGCAGAGTTCTCCCGAAGCCCGGAGCAGCGGCGAGGAAAAGAGGGAGCCTCATCCTGCTTTGTCCCCAAGAGTAAAACAAAAATTCTGGGGACTTCGCAGAGGGCTCTACCTGCCCTCGCCTGCTCTGTCTCACATTTCCTTAAGGAAATGGAGTTTTTCGAGCCGCCTTTCAGATGTAAAGGCGGCTCTTTACGAGCGACGGGGCTGGCGGTCTCAAAGGACCGTCTGACGGCGATGGAAGCCAAACCCAGAAGCCCTATGCTTCAGTAACTTCTAAGAAGAATTATAACTGTTTGGCAAAGATAGTAATTAAGATATGTCATTTTGTGTAACAAATGTCTTGTGATAATAAGAAAATGCTGACTTCACAGAATCCTTTGTTTGAAACTGTATAAAGACTTTGAGATGAAAATCATATTTTGTTCAGACTTCTTTGGTAGCGATACCAGGTTTGATCCTTTATTGCAATAAATAAATAAACTGATTCTGTCTGCCCTGAAGGGATGGTTCTGAATCCTTTCTTCCACAACAATTTTGGCACTCGGCAGAAGGGACTTTGAGAAGCAGAGATTTTTTTCTTCCTAGGCGAACTGCCCCAGCGAGAGTGGCCTTTCCCACCAAGGATTCGACAGCCGGTACCAAGACTCCTTTGAAGTCAATAGAATCCTTTGTTGAGAGATTGCCGTATGCTCGCTGACGAAGCAGATTCAGCCAAGGACCCACAAGAAGGGCAGACCAGACTCAGAAATTTCCACGGATAAAGATCGCTTGGCAGGCAAGTATAAAAGGGGAAATCTGCCTATTTTTGGGGGGGCAGAGGAAGGGGGTTTGATCAACCTCCTAGAAGGCAAGGTGGCGTCCTAAAGCCTTCAGTAAGGAGTTCGAGTCTCCTGAGTGGAGTGTTAAGAGTTAACATTCCCTGTTAGGAAAAAAAGAGACCCCCTTAGTTAATCAAGTATCAGGCAGAGTTTGCTAGGGTCTGTTTGATGAAATCTAAAGGAGAGAGGAGAAAGAAAATCTTTGTGCCAAAGATTTTTAACCAGGCTGAAAGAAGAAATTGTTTATTGTTCTTCCCACCCGGGGTTTAGCAGGTAATAAAAACATAAAACCTGTCTAAATGGGAAGGCTCCGATGATTTGAATTGATCAACTTGATGTGATTTGTTTGACAATATTTTGTTGATGTGCATCTATAATGATA